TGCTAGGTTGGCAGAAGCTGGGACAAGGAACGGGAGCTTAGTCCGTTACGTGGTGCTAGGGATTCGAACCACCGACCTTTGTGATAGGCAAGCTCAGCATCTTAGCCACTGAGCCACCGTGTCCCTTTACAGGAACCTTCTCTACCGGTTCGCAAATGTGAGCGTATGTGCATCCCCACATGCACTCAGTCACATCCACCTTTGTGCTCAACCTTCCATGCATGCACTTTGGCTGAAAAAGGGCCTAAATGGGATGCCATAGAGTTGGGGTGGGTGGGCGGAGCCACCCGCAATTTCTGCTACCGGTTCGGGCGAACTGCTCCTCTGGCACAGAGATATACGAAAAGGGTAGAAGTTGCAAAGTGATGGTGCAACACAGCTGTTGTCCTTTTGACTTCCAGACTCTACCGTTGCTTCCAATTTTAATAATGGAGAATATTTCTAGCTCAGGGTTGAAATGACGGGTCCTTGGTGCTCTCTGAGCTCAGCAGTTTCCTTGCAGGCTGTTTTCACCAGCACTGCAGGATGTTATCTAGTTTGGGTGATGAAATGTCTGCAAGAAAACCACCAGAGAGCACTGAAGACCCCTCGCTCCCGATTTCTTACAAGAACCCACTCTTTGGGAATACCCACTGCGTAGCCGACTCCTTCCATCTGTTGCAATAATTGGCCAATTTTGAAGTCAGACGCGAGACGGAGAGCTTCCTCTCAAATCGGCTTGTAAATCTGAGCTGTGTAAACGCCAAGAGCTTAGGACAGGCATTCCCTTAAGATGTTATCCAACAAGTAGTAAAGTCAGCCTTCGGAAATATACCCGGAGAATCCTGCTCTGCCAGCCTTTTTACAGAATGGCCTATCACTCCATTCAAATCTTCTCTTTCATGTGCCCTCAAGTCATTCTTGACTCTCTGGCGACTGCCTTGGATAAGTCCAAGCTGTTTTCTTGGCCAGATTTTGGAAGCGGTTTGCCTGGGTTCTTCTTCCCACACCTAACCGCCTCTCTAACCCTCCTGTTAAATTTATTTAACACTCTCTCAAGAATCTGAGGACCGCCTCCCACATAATGGAAAAGGCATGCCAGAGAAGGTGTTCCACTTGTTTCAACTCTTGGCTCAGTTGGGTAGAGAAGGACAGGAGATTTTGTCTTTGTTGCTGAAGGACAATCCACACCGTGGAAATGACAACCATTTGGTGTTTAAGAGGGGATCAACTGCTTCACAACCCCCACAATTGATCTCTTTTAGAGGTTTAGGCTCCCCCTTTTCAGATGGTGAACGCCATGTAATCTGCTGCCGAGGACTCACCTTCCATTGGGTAACAATCCCACCATCGTAGTGCCTGATATCAAAAGGCTAATACCAGTAAAAGCCAAGGCAACCCTACAAGGGGGAAAAAAAGGGAGAGAGAATAAGGTATTAAGGTACAATCTCACAGCATTCAGATCACAACAAGATAGCAAGCTGTAATTCTGTTAAAACCTTTTGAACTGGGGGCTGAACAACGGAAGGATGGATGTACAGGTAGGCCTCGATTTACGACCACAATTGAGTGTAAAATTTATTCTGCTAAGCGAGACATTCGTTAAGCGAGTTTTGCCCCCATTTTACAACGCTTCTTGCCACAGTGGTGAAGTGAATCGCTGCAGCTGTTCAATTAGTAACGGGGTTGTTAAGTGAATCTGGCTTCCCCACTGACTTTTTTTTCCAATATATTTTTATTATTTTTACATTTAAAACAATGCAGTACCGTGAAGTCGAAGTGACTGTACATTCACATTATATACAG